GCATTCGTCGCGGCGAGCATATTCAGACTAGACCGTTCCCTGTAGCCTGGAAAATAGGTGAAAACATACAGCGGAGCGAAGCTCGGGATTACTCCTATTCACTGCCCAAGTTGGATCGCCAGTTCCGGAAATTTCCACCTCCATTTCCCGGCCATCCTCGAATACACTCTCACCATCCATGAAGTACCTTGATTGAACTTCAGCACGTAAGCAGACAAAGGAAGGCTCCGCATAGCTCACCAATCCTGGAATCGAGGTAGACGCATCTGAAACCCAGTGGGGGTAAATACGATGCCGGGGCCCTTCCACAGGTGATAGGGCGTTCGCTCGTTGAGCTGATGAATCCATTCCGAGTGATTATCTGCGTATGCTCGCTGCAATGCCGCAAAGTGTGACGCTGTAGAGAACGTTCCGGTAGTATCATCTGAAGGGTTCACAAATAGCTGAGGTTTAGTCCCACGGCACGCTCCTGGATTTCGAAAGCATCGTGAAGCAAGCGCGCACTAGCAATGACAACCTGAGACTCACTTACCTGTAGCGTGAATGACAGCAGCGGGAGCATCGTAACCGGAATTGACGGCGGAGGCCTCTGCAAATGAAAGCTGGCGGCCAGACTGTCGAAGGATCATCAAGAATAATGAAACATCACAAACCCTGTAGGATAGTTCTCTTCAACGCAGAGCGACTGTTTGAGTGAATTCGCACTTCCAAGTTCCCAAAGACGCAATGAAGGATCCATGCTCATTCCTAAGCACGTTCAAATTGCCCGCACTCTCGGAACAGCCATTATCGAACTAAAGTCCGAGGAATACATGATGCAGTAGTAATAACGTCAGAGAGCTTTATGTTTCATGAGATGCCAGGTTCAATATGACGCTCAGTCTTCTGATTCGGACTCGAACTGAAGTACTCAGCTGGAGAGTGTATCTCAAGCTCTCTGAGCTCCTCTATTTCCCCCTCCTCAGAGCCCATGTCTTCACACCACGTCACGAAGCCGCTGACAGAGCCGGTTGCTCTCTGCGAACATCAAGTTGACGGCTCGTT